CATAAATGAAATTGACGATTTTGAGTAATGTAATCCCAATGTAGAAAGAGTGCAACCCACGATACAGGCTCAATTATCTTGGTTTGGAATTTATAGCAGTCCAGTTTCGAGCCCAGAAAAAAGTCCATGATGGTTTCTGCCACAGATTGACTTTTTCACTGGGCTAAGCCCAAAGTTATATTTTGTAATCTGTTTCACCAGCCTTTTCCCGTTTGGATAATTTTGAGCTTAAAATGGTATAAGGGCTGAGCCTTCATGTGGCAAACGCAAATGCAAAGAATCCATGTTTGCATAGGGTTTGATTTTTTTTACCATTAAAATCTTACAATGATTCTTACAATATCGATATAATATTAAATAGGAACATTAAATTTTATGTGATTGATTTTTTTTATTTAGAGAATTATATGAATATTGTATATATTTATTTGTTTAATATCAAATTCAAATAAAACTTAACAATAAAAACTTTACATGTGTGTTTGGTAAGCTCATTTATAACTTTTTTTCCCTTTAAAAGGTGATTAGGATGTTTGGAAATATTATTAGATTTGTTGGTTTTAAACTGTTAAATAATAGATATTAATTATATATTATATTGTTATCAACTAACACTTATAATTATTAATTATTTCTAACAATTAAACCAAATAGAACAAATGTTAGAAGTAAACCTTTTAAAAGAAATCAACTTTTAAAAAAAATTATGTTTAGCTCAATTTTAACATTTACAATAAAAAAGATATTTAAAAACTGGCCAAAAAGTTACTAATTCAAACTATATGTTTAATATTATTGTTCCCTCTGGATTTTGTTTCGGTTTTCAAATCTTCCAACTAAAGCAAATAGAAATGATTAACGTTAGAGCACCTTTGTAGTCCGTTAGGCTATTAAACTACTTTGTTTGGCTGATAAAAAGGAAATGGCTAACGACCTAACGTTGCTTTTTTGGTTTTTTTTGTTTTTTTTTTTTCCTCATCTGGCTAATTAAAGTTGCTTAGGAAGTCAGTTTTGTTCTACCAAACATTTCAGACCTTTTTCTGTCCTCTAGTGCATAGAAGTAAAGTAAATCTTTTGAGTATTGGTAGTTGGGTTTCTCTACTTTTATCAAACATCATCAATTATGTGGGGTATACATAATTGCTAAATTGACGATGCAACTGCCACTGAAAAAGAAGAAAGCCTTCAATGCAATTGTTGCATCACGTTATAACTTTTTACGTGGGATTCCTAACTAATTATGAGGAGATTGTACACTTAGCGTTCGGTTCAGAGACCTCAGCTCACCGTTAAGTGCATGATTTTTTTTTTTTTTTTTTTTGATAACAGTTTAAATTTGATTTTTTATAAATTTATTTAAAAAAAATTATGAGAAGATTGTATTGAGGTTAATATATATATATACATATATATAAATAAGAGAAGTTGTAATTTCAATAAATTTTTAAATAAAAAATAATTAATATATTCTTTGGTTTAACATAATACTTATTAACATTTATTACTTTAATTGTTAAAATTTATAAATTTAAATTTTGTTATCTTTAATTTTAAATTAAAAAATAATTTTTTAATAAATATATTATAAAATATATTAAATTAGAAAGTATTTATATCAATATCTAATATTTTGTAGCATTGATGAAATTTTTCCAGAGTAAGAGAGATAGATAATAAAAGAATAATCGAAATAAACAATAGTAACCAATGGAATGTGAAGCTAGCTATATAGTAATTAATAATGATGAAGAAGAAATCATGAGGAAAAGGCCACCAACAAATTTCATACAAAACAAACTGATCCCCTCAAAAATCTCCCAAAGAATAAAACCCGCATGGATGTAATCTCAGGTACACATAGTAAACAAGCAACAATGGTGGCAGGCAACCATTGATTATGTAGAAAAGGATGAACTAATAACGCAGGAGACACCAATAGAGAGACATGTCTAGAGTAGCAGACCAAAGAGAAGAGCCCATCCCAAGGCCAAGCTCCCCATCATTTTCTGCACCGACCACATCTTCCCTACTCCACTCTGCAATAATAATTAAAAGAAAAGAACTTAATGACATTAATTATTATAAACATATTGATGATCTATCATTTTTTTGAATAAATATGTATTGTGCCTCTCAAATATTACACAATACAATATTACATAACACAAATTATTAAATAAAATGAGCTCCTTGAATCTAAAGTTTGTCTCTTTTCAAAATAGTTCTTAATGCGTAAATTGATACAATTTAAACGTAAAATTAATTGAGCACTCGTTTTTTATAAGACAGTGCTTGATATATATTTTGATTTAATATATTATATAATACATTTATTAAAAAATCACTATTTATTAATTTAAAATTAAAGACAGATAAGTTTAAAGATGTAATTATACACACAGAATGTTAGAATCAATTGTATTTATATTATATTTTTAATAATAAAACTAAAAATATATCAAAAAATGTGTTCAACCTGTATATATCATTTCCCTTTTTTCTATATAGAGTATAAGCAAATATAAGCATGTACATTACAAATATTATATTCCAACTGTACTTGGGAAAACTGCAATGCGATAAAGTGAGTGCAAGAGGGAATATACCACATCAGATCCGGCTGGTCCTGGTGACAATGCACCGAGGCTTGGCGCAGGGGCTAAGGTCGGTGGAGAAGGCGGGCTTTTTAGTGGAGATGATGCTGGCGGCTTCGTCGTAGGTGCCACAGCGGGAACCAACGCAGGAGGAGAAGCTAATGGAGCCGGAGGTGAAGTTGCTGGAGGTGGAGTTGCTGGAGGGGGAGTTGCGGGAGGTGGAGTTGCCGGTGGAGGAGAAGCTGGTGGAGGAGTTGCAGGAGGAGGCGATGCTGGAGGTGGAGAGCTAACAGGTGGAGGAGTTGCTACTGGAGGTGGCGTGGCAACCGGCGGCGGAGTTGCTGCAGGCGGTGGGGAGGCCGTTACAGGTGGTGGTGCAGAAGTAGGAGGGGGAGTTGTGGCCGGTGGTGGTTGGTTGGCTGGTGGAGTTGGCGGCGCTGTAGTAGTTGGCGGTGGGGTAGAGGCCGGAGGCGTTTGGGGCGTTGGTGGCGTCGGAGGTGCCTGTGTGGACGGTGGAGACGTGGGAGGAGATTGAGCTAGGATGCCGGAGACGGCAATACATATGAAAGCTGAAACCACCGCAATCTTGCTCCGAAGCAACATCTTTTAGCTGATGGTATAATGTATCTTCCTTCACCCTCACAGTACAGGATGCACGGCGAGGCACGAGTGAGGGGAAAGGGAGGGAAGTGTGGAGAAATATAAATAGGAAAGAAAATCATCGTGCACTTTTTTTTTTTTTTTGAAAAAATGAAAAATTAACAAAATGGACCGGGAAGGTTCGGGACTCGGGGTACACTTTGAGAACTTTTTCTTATAATTTTATTTTGAATTACATAATTGGATGAAATTTTCTTTTAATTTTTGACTTACTTCACTTACATATAAATATATATTTTGGATATGAAAAATTTGAAAAATGTGAGATTGTTTTTTCGGTGGAAGTTAATTTTTTGACCGATTAAATTTAAATATCAAAATTTGAGAATAAATTATTGGATAAAAAATTGATTTTATTTCAATTATATTTTATTTAACTTAAATTTAGTATCTTAAATTATTTGTTTATTATAAAAAATCATTAAATTATATAAGTTATTGAGCATAAAAAGTCTACCATGTAAACAAATCTATTATTTTTTTTCTTATAGATTTTTTTATGAAAAATAAGCTTTATAAATATAAAAAAGGTACAACAAGGAAAAATGTGTATCATGAATGATCGTTTCTAAATTTTTTATAGAAACCCATAAAAGTTGTTATTCTATAATTTTAAAATACATACTAATGAGTAATTTGAGTCAGTCCATTACCTCAAACTGCTTGAATTCCATTTCACCTATTAATAACCTCATTCCGTAATTGATGGATAAAGATCTATCAATCGGCAAAGTATTCCCATAAACCCTATTTGGAAAGAAACCCCTAATTCCCCGTCATTTCTTTCCATCTAAACAACTCATTAAACTTTAGCTCAATTCTACCCCCAATTGAACTCTTATCCTCTAGATTTTTTTTTTTCGAACCTTTCCCCCAAAAATCTCGCAGCATCCAGCGTCTGTTACCTGAAACTTTCCTCCAATTTCTTAGGATTGTGTAGATTAACCATTTAAATATAATTGATAATTAATAATTAATAATTAATAATAATTATTTATAATTTAGGGTATTTAGAATTCCTTTAAGAATGTTTTTTGATAGTTTATTTTTTAATTTAATTATTTATTCAAATGAGATGAAGGAAGGGAAGATGAATAAATGAGAATGAAAGGTAATTCTCCTCCCCTTCTTTTTCCTCTCCTCTATTTCCCTTAACTTAAATATAAGATAAGCCTTAATTTGTTTGATTAAAATCAACACCCATATTAATATGATATTCAATGAAAAAATTGACATCTCAAACTATATTTTAAACGACGTCAATATGAAACCACAATGACGGGTGACCCACGAGCTATGCACCAATTACAAGACCAGATCTGTGGGATGACGTGGCACGTGATTGAGTTATACGCTGCTTCACGTACCGTTTTAATATCTGGCAGTCCGCCAACCTGGCAGCTAGATGAGTGACGCGTGGCATTGATTAGTAATAAGACCACGTGGTTGGTTTTTCTATTCACTGGGTTAGGTGGGAGGTGAAAAATGATGTGGGGGTAGCCGATCTGCCTATTTCATGATTATAAATGATTTGTTAGTTAGTTGCTTTACCATAAAGTGTTTATATCTGAAGTGTTGATATGTATACGCGACGGTGCCATTATTTTTTATAATTTAAATTATATTAAATTATTAAAAAAATAAATTTTATTTATATATCAATTTTATACATTATATTTATATAAAATTTTGATAATTTATTTTTTTTATTTTTTTTTAATTTTGATTACACAATGGGAGGTAACCATCTCTCGTCTCTTATCTTTCATCTTTCATTTTATTCCACTTGTATGTCATGTAATTTAAACTCAAAATCTCTTATTTCCAGTTAAAGGAGATGATCCCTGACCTACTTAAATTATTGGTATTTTTTTACTTTTAATAGTTGAAATTTATTATGATTTTTAATTAAAAAGTAATTATTTTTAATAAATAAAATAAAAAGTAAATAAATTTTAATTATTGAAAATAAAGAAATGAATAATAAAAATTTTATGTAACTGTAGTAAGTAAAATTTATGTATAAGTGGATTTTTCTTCTTCTAATATTAGGGATTCACTTTTTATCTAATAAATTTGAATAATGATAGGGAAAATGAAAATTTGAAACTAATTATATAATTTATGTCATATCATTCAATTAATTGATGCATATAATATTGTAAGTTTTACAAAATTTAAAAAGCTAATCATTAGATAATATCAAATTTACTTTTAAATATTTTAAATAACCTAATTTATGCTACATTATTGGTCTCATATTTTAATTTTAAATTTTGGTCTTATTTATCATTATTCAATAATTTTTTTATGTAATGTAATAGAATTTAAATTATACAATAATTTTGATAAATATATTCTTTAATAAAAAATATATTACAATTAACGTTTTTAAATTGAAGAGTTATATCTTAATATCAACAATAACCTATTATTAGATGTAAAAAAGAACAAAATTATCTCCTAACTAAATATAAAATAGAAAAACCGCTGAGTTAATTATATATTTTAGCTATTTTACATGGCATTGCTGGCTTGCTGCTGTGATTGTGATGGAGTGTCATTGATTAGTGGAAACTTGATATGGTGGTGGACCATGACGGCAACTGGGTAATGTAATTTGTACGCTAAGATTTGAGGAAATCATCGGCTTTCTAGTTGGTATGTTGGAGAAGCACCGCCTCTGCCTCATAACGTGGGGCCTGCTGCACTGTCATGCCGTTGATAGCTGCCTTTGAACTAAGCTCAATAAAACGAAACCCCATTTTTTCATTTTTTTTCAGCGGTGAAAGTGCCTTCATGTCATGTAATTGAATTTATGCGTATCTCTCAAGATTAATTTCTCAAATCTAATTAATTGTAGGATGACTCACTTCGGTGCAATGATATCGGATCCTAAATTAGAGTTATTTACCTCTTATAAGTTATATGTTTGAATTCACGAAAATTTTTTCTCCTATCTCCAATTAACTTGTAAGTAATTACAATATGTTGAAAAAAAAATATAATTAAATATAAGTTATACATATTGAAAATAAAAACTTTATAAAAAATTTTATTTTTATTATATTTTATAAAAAAAATTAAATCTTAATTAATAAGATAAAAAATAAACTCTCTTATCAGCTCAAATAGAATTCTTTAAGTAAAGCGTCTTTTTTGTAAGTAAAGCTATAAAGGTTGTGGTATATCTAGCCTTAAGCTGAATTTAGTTTAAATTTTTCCTTTTAATTTCTTGTAATTTTGTCAAAATCATGCCAATTTTAAGGTTTGTTTTGTTGAAATGTATAATTGTCAACTTTAACTATTTTATAGGTCTAAGAGTTGATTTTTTCTTTTTTCAATTTCGTAATTGGTTGGGGATTTTATTTGTCATTAAACCTATTTTATATTTATGTAAGTTTATTTACTTTAATCTTAAGGCTTTAGGAAATTTTATGTTTAAATTTTCCTTTCCACAAATTGCTTTGATATGTTTAGAAAAATTCATATAATTAATTAAAATGTACTATTGCTCTATGCACTAGAACAATTAGCTCACGAATATGAGCAAATGGGTTAGAGAGGGAAGTAAGGTTCAAACTCTTATTAATTAGTAGGGTGTTGAAGTTTTTACACTAATAACAAAAATAACTATAAGTACCAAATTGTAATGTAATTAATGTATTAAAAATATCAAAATGGTACTGCTGCATCAAACAGTTGTGTAACCATTAATCCATATATATCAATGTGGATTAATACTGATTTTATTTTTGTGGACCCTAATTGGTTTTGACTTCTCCCTGTCTCATAATTCCCTCAAATGCAACTGCTGCTTTGGCTGCATTGGTGACAAAAGATCAAAACCATCCATGTATGGACCCATATCCATGGCCATGACCATGGTTCTACAGTTCTACTTCTTGTGTTATCATTTCCCCTTCCCCTAATTTTCCCATGTTCGGAAAAAAAAAATATTTTTTCCTCAAATGGTGGCTTCTCTTCACACGTTGGATCCTCTCTTTTTTTGAGTTCAATTGGACTGGAATTAAGAGCGTAAGAGAAAAGATCAGTTTAATCATCCCCCGTGTGCCAAATAAATTTTTTAATATAACCATGAACTCTTCGAGCCACTCAAGTCCAGTCATGGAATTAGAAATAAGGTTTCCTAATTTGATTTAACTGTTAAAAATAATTAATTATTATAATTAATAAGTGATATCTAATTAATTTAAAGTGAGCTTATAAACTATATATGTATTATTTTAAATATCATGTAACTCACTGTTTAAGTAAGAAAAAAAAAATTATAAGCTCATGATATCATCAATTAATTACAAACACACCCTAAGGATGGTGCCTTTCTTTCCCAACTATGAGCATTTGGATTAACGTTTAATATCTCTTGATTTTGAAATGATGTAACCAAGTAGCCTCCTCCTGTTGGCCTGTTGGTTTCCTGCCAGGTCAATTGAGCTGACCTTTTCTGAATTTCAATCACACATGGATGTGAGGAGTTTTAATGTCATCTCTCAGTAACCATACACCTAATTTTTGAAATTAAGTGCAACTTAAAAGTATACATCGATTGATTCTTGTATAGTATGTTTAATTTGAAGGAAATGAAAAAGAAAAGAGGAGAATAATACGTACTTTTAACTAATCAAATTATAATGTTTTTAGATATTATGATATGATTGGTCAAAAAATTCATTCCTCTTTTCTTTTTCCCTTTCCTCAAACGTCAAACCAAACATATCGGTAATCTCATGACACAACCTTAGATCTTCTTTATCGATATAGGGGTGTTCATGGTTTGATAAGTTTGGTCTTTGAACATTTAGTCATCTAAACCGATCTAATCTGCTAAATGAATCAAATTTAGATCTCTAACCTTAAAGGGTTATATACACTGGTTGGGCCCTGACAGACATAAGCATGATTACTTGGGCGGATGTGTCTCATTAAAATTGGATATCTTTCGTCCAAGAGGTAGCCAAGTCAGCAATTGCTTAACTTCATTTGTTTCCAAAATCATGTCAAATTTACGGTTTAATTTGGTGAAAATTGTCGACTTAAACAAATTCTATATTTATGTAAGTTTATTTCCCTTAATTTTAAGGTTTTAGGAAGTTTTATGTTTGCCTTGCGAAAAGAAAATAGAAGCTTTGTTTTTAAATGTTTTTTTACTTAAATGACACGATTGATTAATTTATAAAGATAGTGTAGAGCAGGTAATTCTTCTAAAGTTTTTTTATATATAAAATTTGTTTAAAAATTTATATTCCAATTAATAGTTTCAAAAACCAACCAATGAATTGAAAATTCTATTTATACAAATTATGCATGTCAACTTTTATATTAATCTAACATATATAATTTTTTAATTAAAAAAAATTTATTTATTAACATATATTTAATAATGTTAAATTCTCATAATCAACGAAGTGATACGATTAGGCTTAGTAGAACAATTGAAAAATGTAATCAAGATGAACAAAACTTCTAATTTAATAGTTGATTTTTAAAAATATTAATTAAAAAATAAGTTTTTCTATATGTCCTTTAAAAAAATTAAGAAAATGACATGCAAAATACTTATCTCTTAATTTATTACTAATATCAAAATAGTACTATTATATAAAAAATTGGAATGCTTTTATAGACATACCATAAAAAATAGCTTTTCCTTTCTCTTAATTCTTTTCACTTTTTTCAAGATTTGAAAATGAAAGCTTTAATCTAGAATCACAAGTGTTTTTCTTGTTTTTCTTTTTTGTCTTAATACATCCTTTTAAGGACCCTCATAGTTTCTTAGGAAGTTAATAACTATGTTTCACCGAATAGTTTTTTTTTTTTTTTTTGAACAGAAAAAAATAATATTTATTAATAAGCGGAGTACAAGGGATACCCCAAACCCATAAACATCATAACTTGAAAGGTTTCACCGAATAGTTTGAAGTATTAGGTAAATATTTAATGAGGCTATAGTGTTTTTTTTTTTGAATAAGTTGTCAAGGACGGGTTCGAAGTCCGCCCATGGGGAGAGAGAATACACCTGAAGCTGGCAAGGTGCCAGTTGACCTGAAAGGCCATGTGTTAATAATGAGGCTATAGTGTTTATTTGTCTCACTTTTTAAAATTTAAAAGGAAAGTTACTCTAAAATTATGACATTTAAATAAAATATCATGATAAAAAATCAAAAACAATCTAATGCATGCAACTAAAATAGGTATTTTAAGTTGTTTTTAGTGAGAGTTTATTGAATTAATATAGTTTTAAGATAATTTTTCTTTTAATTTTTAAAATATAAGACAAATAGACATTTTTTTTTTCATATTTAATATACATTTTAGTTTTCATTTCAAAAAATATATGTTTTAGTTTTAACATATCTACTCAAATGATTTCAGTAAGGCTCATAAAACCGTCCAAGTAAGAAACTCCCTCGTTGGTTAAGAAACTTATTAGGGAGGTGATGTAAGGATAACTTTTTTATAACATTTTTTTTATAAAATTTTTACATAATATTAAATTAATGAATGTATTCAATATCATGAGTCTCATATGAATTAAAAAAATTAATCATTTTAATGATACATCAAGTTGTATAAAAATATAAAACAAAAAAATTATACAAACATTATTTCCCAACTTATTAACGCCATTTCATCTATTGGCCATGGAGTTAGGATACGGATAGAACGGAAGCACAAAGTTAAGTGATAAGTACGCAGCTTAGAGATGAAGGGATTACATTGGGGGCATAATTTTCCTGAATTGGATTAACCATCATTGTCCCGCTTTTGAAAAGATGTAACCTTGTAGCCTCCTTTTGTTGCTATGTTAGTTCCTTTTCCACGTCAATTGAGCCGACTTTTTTTTATCAATGTTAGCCGCAATGCATGTGACAATGAACTGGTTACTAATTAATCTCAGATCTAAAAAAGGAAAAAGAAAAAAAAAAACTACACATTGATTTTTGACATTGGCTTGTTTCTCATAATTTCAATCTCATGACATAACATTCTACCATTTTCTTTAATAGAAGGGTTGGCTGCTTAATATTGTAAAGATTTAAATATTTAATCTTAAATTAATGAATATTTTTTTTTTATGTTGATTGCACAACGAGAGGCATTTCTCTCATATCTCTTATCTCACTTCACCCATTCACATGTTACGTAACTCGAATTCAGAATCTTTTATTTCCAGCAGCGGAATGAGATTATCACTAAATTACTTAAGTTGTTGGTAAATTAAATTAAATTAATAAGTATTATTTAGACTAAATTCTTATTTGTCCTACTTTTTTTTTTTATGTATTTGATCAAGTAAAAACATGGGGAATAAAAAAAGCTTTGTTCGTCCTAAAATAACTGTTTTTTTTTTTAATTTTAAATTTATCCTAAATTAATTCAGCCCAAATTAATTATTTTTTTATCTTTTAAAGTAAACAAATATTTTTTTCTTACTCAACAATATTGTTATCTTTTTATGTTCTTTGATTATTATTCTATCACAAAGTTTTTCTATTTTTTATTATTTTTTATATGATAATATAAGTAAACATATAAATTATTCTTAAATTATTAATTTAAAATAATTAAGAAAAATATCAGTTATTTTAAAATAGAGATTATATGATATATTGATTGGTGCATGGGTTGATTTAAATGGTGCCTGAAATGGGATTTTGGAGGCCTATCTTTGAAAAGCGTCGCAACTTGGTCATGGCCCATAGGCCATAGGTTTGGGCTGTGAATTCTTGGTGATTCTAATATTGGAACCAACCCAATCCAAACTCATCCATTCCAAATTGGGTTTCGTTTACCATACAAATCCTTGATTTAAAATAGGTTAAATTTAATAAATGGTATATTAATTATAATAATTATACCTCTTTAGTCTATTAACTATTTTTTATACCTAATTAGTCTACAAAAATATAAATTTGTACATGTTTAGTCTAGTATACCAAACTCCCATTATATTTACTAACGGGAATTTTTTTTTTTTTTTTTTGAAATGGACTAATAGAAAGCTATATTAGAACTTAAACAACAACAAATGAGTTGACCAATATTAATCATTATCTTCCCTAAGTTTTGGCTGTTATATTCTTTTTAAAAAATAAAAATAAAAATAGTGTATAGACTTTGATGATTAAAGTGTTTTTAGCAGATTAAGCCTAACCTAGCTTTAAAAGGCCCAATTAGGCCTTGATTCTGAATATGCTACTATGTTATCAATCAAATAAGGTTGGTTGCAATCAAGATTGATATGGGGATCCAAGATCATTAACCAAGCCTAGTCTCTAGTTTGGCATGTTAGTCCATACTCCTAAGTCAACCTAACAACCATGCTTAACTCCAAGTATACCTACTTGTTGGGGAGCAGGCCCAACATCCATAATCAGGCCCATAAGGCCCCATACAGCTCAAAGAAATAAGTGCTTCAATCATGTTATATCCACTTGACCCAGTGCAAGTGTGCCAATAAGATAATGACAAATGGCACCATTGTCAGAACCGAAGATTTATAAATACCCCAACCATCCTCATGTAAAATTATAAAGTCCATTATGCTTCTCTCTTCAATAACTCTTTTTGGGAGATTTTATTTTTAAATTATAAAATATTATTAATTTGAGTATCGAAATATCTTTTCTAAGGAGATAATTTTGAGTTTTTTAGAAGTTGGAGCTAATAGTGATTTTCACCGCTGAAGTAGTGAAGTTGCCCAAATACTACTAGAAATTATTTTATAACATTCCTTTTGCCATATCAGATCCATACTTAAAGGAAGATGATAGCAAATCCTCCTACTCAAAGGGCCATCTCAATTTAACCATAAGAGACTTGTAAGTAAATAAATATTTAAGGAATTTCTTGTAGGTTTTATTTTATAAATCAATTTTAAGATTCAAGTTATGGTGCTTTCACCAAAAAAAAAAAAAAACAATTTTCTTTAACACATTAACCAACCTGGGGGAGGAATTGTGCATCATTGACTTGGAAGGGACTAATCTCAAGTACACATAAATTATCTCAGGGACAATCTCACCTTAAAAACGAAAAAAAATAAATTTTCAAGGAATTCAAAAGTTAAACTTCCATATTTCAAACTTAAATAAAATTGTTCAGGGACTTAGTCGCTGTTCACCCAAATCCCAACATCAAAATGTAGCTGGCGGGATCTGAAAAACATTCCAACTCTAAAAAAGAAATAAAAAGGTGGTCTCAAACTTTAATATTTGGATTTAATTAATTTTTATTAATTATTTAAAAAATTCCCTAACTCTTTATAATTTTTCATATTAAAAAAAAAAGAGAGAGGGAACCTTTTATCAGATAATTATTTTTTTATAGTTAATGTTATTTTAAATTATAAAATATTTTTTTTAAAAGACTTAACTAAATAACAAAAATATATAATATAAAACCCTCCCATCTGCCCTTTTAATTCCGAATGCCAAAAAGTACGGCAGAAGGATAAGGAAAAACCCTCTCCCTCTTCCTATTCCTCTTCCTCTCCCTGAGAAAAAAATGGCGCTTTCGTCGGGAATTTTCTCCACCACCGCTATCACCCCCAAAATGCCATCTTTGTCCTCTCGCCGGCTTCTTCCCGCTACTGCTTCTCCTCCTTCTGCTAACGTTCGTTTTGTGCGCCCTGTAATCCAGGCCGCGGCTTCCAAGTCTGCCACCGGGACGCGTCTGCCGAGTGGTATCATGCGGCCGCGCCGTGTCTCGCCGGAGATGGAGGCCCTGGTTGGAGTCTCCGAGATCCCTCGAACTCAAGCTCTGAAACGTATTTGGGCCTACATTAAAGAAAACAATCTTCAGGTTATCTTAAGAAATTTTCTTTCATTTCTTTTTCTTTGTCAGCCTTTTTGAAGTTCTTCAAAGTATTTTGTGGTTAAAGCATGATTTTTGGTTTTTATTATCTATTTGGGGTTTTGAGGTTGGATATTGTGTGCTGGTGGTGAAACTTCTTCTTTTCTTTTTTCGGGGTGTGTTATTTAATTTTAGATTTCAGTAGATGGCTTTTGTGTCTTGATAAGTGGGTTATTTATTTATTTTTTTAATGGGAATTTAAATCCTTTGAGTGTGTGCTTTAGAATGTAGATCACGGCATCATTGGTAAGGTTAGGCTGAAATTGATTATTTGTTTGCTATAGTTTACATTTAGGGATCTATCCTTACTTTATAGTCTACTTGGATTTTGGTTTTAAGTTATGATTTTATATATAGATGGAATTTTTGTGGATTGTTTTATGTTGTGTGGTACAAGTTGTGGTTTTGTAATAAAATTGTTTTGTTAACATGATTATGTTGTGCCATGTTGATGTATGAACCATGACCCTAGCAGTTGCAATAGGGTTCAGTTAATATTGTACATATAGAGGTTCCAATCTTCATTTGAATCAATTTTGGGTGTCATTGTTAGCTTGGGATGGGCATATTAAGGCCTGTTTGTTGTTTGGTTCACTTGTGGCATCATTAAGTGCTGCGAAAATGATTCAGGGATAAGCATAGGTGGTAACAATGTTGGGTAATTGTTCACTTAGGTGTGTTTATGATGATTGTGACGTAATCACGTTCCAATTCAAAGCATTGCCATGCAATTGGTATTTACTATGTAGATACTTAGATTTCCATGACTTTCTACTTATTGGATAGTGGAAAGTAGTTTAGTAGAAGTACTCACTTGCCTTTGCAGTCATAAGGCATGGTGGTAATAATACTAACTGTGTTAAATGAAGAATTAATTTCCTCCCAAAAGTATTAAGTTACTTGCCTTGTTACAACTTATGTGGTTGTTTGATCTTTTCGGTGCCAATTCTATATGTGGTTTCTACTACTACAGAAATAGCCTTTATGGTTCCTTACGTGATTTAGAATGCTTCCCATGTTGTCACTTATATAATAGATCATTGAGGTACATACATGCTCTACCTTAGAGACACACAGGAGTGCAAACTACTGAAAAAGGCTGACATTAATTTAAGGTTCATGGCAGTTAACTTATCTGATTATATACGGACCATCTTCTTTATTGAGAAACATAATCCCAACCTCTGAACTTTTTTTCTTTGAGAGGGAGGTTAAAAACTAATTTCAAATGGTGATGGGAAAGTAACAGAAATATATATATATTGTATTGGAGACACTTCAAAAGGTTGTGGTTGCTGCTTGAAAAGTTTACAATTTTCACTTTGCTTAATGTGATACTTGTTCTCTCTAAGTTAACTGTTTTATGACATTCCTGATTGTTTTGGCGGCTTCATTACTTATTGCAACTTAAGTTAAAATATAATGACAATGCATTGGTGATTTTGATTAGATTACCCCTTAGGATTGCTGCCATCTTTCTGTGCTTGATAATTTGAGTGTTAATGAAAGGCATAACGTACTTTGCCTCCTGGAGTTTCCTCTTTCACTTACGCGCTTCTTTTTACATGTATATAAGGACTGAAAATAAAAGATTATGCTATATATTTACTTGTAACTAACCTGATTGCCTTTTGCTATTGCTTCAGGACCCTGAGAACAAGAAGATTATTATTTGTGATGAGAAACTGAAGAAGATATTCGGAGGGAAAGATCGTGTTGGGTTTCTTGAAATTGGAGGATTGATTACTCCTCACTTTCTGTGATGGATCCTAAAGATTCAGTTTGAACTTTGGGAGTGAACTTTTATCTACACAGGCCCTTCTTTTGGCAAATGATCTAGTTAGTAGGGCTTGCTTCCTTTTGCGGTTAGTAGTGTTTTTAGCCTTGGTACTTAAGTACATAAGTACTTGTTTATGAATTTTGTTTATGAATTTCCAAAGTTTTAGGACTTCAACGCATTATTATCAATTCTGTCCATGTTTTTCCTCCATTCAATCTCAAATCCTTGGGTTTGGTTACTTTGTTTCATTTTCTACATGTGGTCATTAGATGATGTTTGGCATCTGTTGGATATGTGCTTGTTCCTCGCTGTTCATGGAAGTAAATTGCATCTTTGGCTCTATTGTTAAGCTAATTTATTTACATATCAGTCTCCTTAATTTGGGTTTGGCAGCAGTTTGTTTTTAAACAAAAATTTATGTTACTGCGACAATTCCTTTTGGGATTGCATTGTGAA